GGCAGGCGGCAGGCGGGAATCGAACTCATGCGGAAGTGGCTTCAGATTCTCAGTGCTGTGCTTTAACCCGCTGCGCCACCAGGGAGGGCCGATAATTTTTAATGATCTTTTTTCCTCTGTAGAGCTTCTACCCATGGTATTCTAAATGGCTCCACTTAACACAGTAAGAGGAAGAAGGAAGAAATGTCAGGATTAGAGTTTATCAGTACACAGGACAATCTACTGATGGGTTATTAACTAACAACAGGTAGGAAGGAGTGCTCCCTTCCCAGGGCATAGAAAATCCTGCAGACCTGTTTTTGGTAACTCTCATGTATCACTTTGAAAAGTGCCAAAAGGGAAATTACATTTGAGATTTGATATATTTAGGCCACATAAACTTATCAGGGATGTGTCTTTTCACAAGATACATTGGTGAAATCTATAGAGTCTTGTGGTTGGCATTATTTACCTGATTCAAAAAATGACATGGATAATCTAGAGGTAAGTTTATTAACCATGTGACTAAAGGATGAGAAAACTAGGATCATATGGTAAAACTGAATGCTAGAATCAAACACTCAGCCTTCAACTTCAAGAAAATTTAAAATAACTGGCCTCTTCTCTAATCATATTAATGAAAAAACAAATTAGCATAAAGTTTGTGTATTCATCACTCACTCAATAAATATATTTTTATATATATTATATAAAAATTAGTGTTCTGGCTGTTTCAGGAGTAAAAAGACATTTTGAAAATGTCAAAAGACCTACTGTGTGTTTGGCATAGACTATAGTCTATAGATAGACAAAGAAATTTAGAATATCCATTTTATGTGTGCATTAAGTGGGACCGTATGAAATTTTTTCAGTTCAACTATGTTTTACCTATGATATGGCAACTCCAAGTTATCTTAGCCTGAGTGTGTATACCATGCTGAGGGTGAAGGAGGCTGAGAGTTTGGGCTGACAATGGCATGAAGACAGGATACACATGCCACAGAAAATCAAAGAAGTTGTTTCAGATGACATTGCCGATTTTGTACTGAACGTAAAAGGATGAGTAGTTTTCTAAGCAGATAAGGCAGAGAATTGGAAAATGGACGAAGAGAGGACATGTAAAAAGAGTGACTGAAGAGAAATGGAAAAGCCATTAGGAAGACGGGACAGCTTTAGTTTTTTAAGATAAACATGCTATCTATATTCAGTAAATGTAATTTCAACACAAGGGTTGTTAAAATTGTACAGAAAGTAACAATCCTTTTCTGCGCATCTATTTGAGACCTAGAGGGGAAATCTAAAAGAAACACCAAGTTATAAACACTTGAGAAGCACTGAGACACTTCAAACATGTGGATTCTGCTTAGCAGGATAAGATAATCAGTGAAATCTTTCCCAAGATTAAACTAGCTGATGATCAGCAAACTTTTAAAATGATGACTATAATTATCATAGGAGCTTATTTCAGGCATTTCTGATTTGATTATGGATCCAGAAGCTGTTACCATCAAATAAAGTCTTTTTCAGATTGACCAAAAAGGGAATGAGATGAACCCCAAAATGAGCTGAAAGTCTGCGTGGAAATACCTGAAACCAAATAGCAACAATACCTGCTCCCTCTCCACTCTTGGAATCGCATTGTCTTACTTAAGTCAAAGATACTTCTAAATATGGTGACCATGCTTGGAAAATGGGATATGGGATGATACAGCTTCTTTTTAAAAATGGAAATAAGCCCCCTCCCTAGTGGTGCAAAGGGCTAACACGCAGAGCTATGAAACTAGCCACAGCTGCTTCAGGGCAAGTTCTATCCCTGGCCCCAGAGGTGATCCACATGGCTCAGCAGACCTCTCCTGACCCACCTGCTGCTTCCCTCAGCAGTCTACTTCATCAGTCTGCCTGTTCTGCTTCTCACTCTGTCTGTGGTGGATCCTCTCACTGCCCCTGCACCTCTGGCCTGTACCCCAGTTCTGTATGCATAAATAAACAAGTCTTTAAAAAATAATAAAATTGCAAATAAAAATCAAGACCAATTGATGGTTAAATCAGCATAGCATGGATTTAAGAATTAACATGTTGTTTATACCCCCTCATGATGTTGTCGCTTACCTGTGTGCCTGTATGTCACCATCCCTGAGATGACATCGCCTTGAGAAAATTGATCCACTGGGACACCATCTTTCCTCAATACCCCATGCTGAGGTTCTCGAACGATCATAAACATCAGTTTCAAGTCATCACTGTCCACATCAGTAGCAAAAATATATTCAGAAGAGATGACTACCTCTTCGCCTTCTAAGCAATGCATCATGGGGATGAGGTCAGCCTTTAGGACTGGTGGCTCATCATTTACAGGGACTACCTACTCAGGAAAAAAAAAAAAAGCATGTTTTCAGGGTAAAGAAAGCAGTGAAAAATTGCCCAACTGGTAACGTATAGCTCATGTAGGAATGACAGTCATTTTCCATCTTCCAGACATGAAACAATAGCCATGGAATTTGGCCAAGCAGTCTGCATTTTTTAACTTTCCCCATATGAACCATCTTGCAAGAAATGACCCACATGAGAGACACTTTAGGTAGGAATGGGAGAATACAATTATGGCTTGAGACCCAAAGCTCTCATTTGTTTCTAGACAGACAAAATATAATTGTAATATAAAGCATTCTTCACCAAAGCCCCCATCCTCCTTTGTTAAATTCACACATACTCTAGATGAAATCTGGTCCTTGTGGTCTGATGCATTTCCATTCACCACATCAAATTTATTTATATTTCAAATTACTTGATGATTACAAAGCTTTTCACCACCCTCAATTCCTGCCACCCAGAAAGTTTCTCAGGACTTACAGTAAGCAGCAGCTTACTGCATTTCAAACATTTGAGTAAGATATGAAATACCATAACCATTAAATCAATGCTGGGTTTCATTTGATAGAACATTTTTCTCTCACTGTCATAAAAATAAACCTCCAAGTAGAAAGAAAAGCAAAGTGACATGGTATCATACTGACTCTATGAACTAAAAAGATAAGGCGGAAATTTGAAAAGGCATGTTTTCCAAATGAAAATGAAAACCATTTGTCCTCTCTGTTCACAACCACAACTTAGGGTGTGCTGTGAGTTGATTTATCAAGTCTGTCTCCAAGTACTCACAATCCTACATTTCCTTCCCCTGCGCTTCAGTCAAAGTGATAGTTTTTAATATTTATTTTTCTTGAAGTATAACTAACATATCATATAGTTTCAGGTGCAAGCACAATCACTATAAACACCTGGTAATTTACAACTGTGACAGTGGTGAGCAGAAAAGAAGACTGGTCTAGAATACCAGAGAGTAGCAATGCCAGCCAAGATTTCCACAGTCATTTTCAAGACTTAAGATAAGACATTGAAACTTCTTGTGACCAAATTTCCTCCCTTATAAAATGGAGACAATTCTTTCCCTATCTACTTCTTAAAACACAAAGTGGATGTGATCATTTTTACTTTATTATTAAGTATCTTACAAACATCATTAGTGCCACTAATAAAAATGTCATATGACAAAAACAATCTGATAAAATTCAAACAGAAATACACTTTGACACAGTAGGAATAACTGGTGGCCCTTCAGGGAGCACAGACTTCCTGCAAACTTCCCATGTCACTAAATATAAATACCAGCAAATCCTATGAATTCTGAAAATGGATAGACTGGGTAGTCAGTCAACAGAGAAACTTGAGAATTTTCATCAGGACTTTGAGCATAGTCTACCCTTATGTGCAGGTATTTCTTCATTTGTCAAAAGGAAACAATAACCATCTCAGACAGAGTTTAGGGAACAGGGTACAGGACTTCACAAGGGGCTCCAGCATCTCCTTCCTCTCATCAGGGACATCCCCAGAGATGTGTCAAGCATGACCAGTGCCTAAGTAAATATTTCTGAGTGTTATCACTCAAAATTATTAGAAATAACTTTTACGACCGCTCTTAAAAATAAGCATCTGGGTTGGAAGTCAAAAGTAGTTCTAGTTTGAAATGAGTTGGAGAGAGAGCACAGTATGCCTACTTCAACAATATAACTTTGCTTTCTACTGCCTGTCCTGAGACAAAGAGTTAGCCTTCACTTCTTGGAAACTGATTTCAAGTGAAATGATGTATCGCAAACCCAACTATCCCCCTAGGTAATTGATACAAACAAAAATTAAGTGCCTACAGCATAATTCCTTTTGCAAACATCGCAACAAACTTGTAAATAAAGATGCAAAACACTTATATTAGACGATCATCTGCAGTCATTTTCTAACCTGCATATTCCAGCTTAGGGTCCCAAGTAGATAGATAGAGCCTATCTCAGCAGTTCTGAAGAGAGGCTGGGACTCAGGAAGAGTGGGCCCTTCCATACAAACACATGCACACATGCATACACACAGATAAATTAGGCTTACCTATTCATCTAACATTTACTTTTTGGAGATGTGGAGGATTTGCGGGTATTGGAAGAAAACCCATGCAGACTTGGAGAGAAGGTACAAACACCACACAGTGGTTCTAACTAGGAATCAATTTTTTTTCCTTGTCAATGTTATAACAAAATGACATCAAGAAAGGATGTTATTCAAGGTCCCTACTTTACAAAGACATAAGCAGGCATCCTCTGGCTTTGGACTATGTCACTATCAAATTCTATCAGGGAAAACCCTAAGAGGTTTCCAAACCCAAGCTTTATATTTCTGTTTAAGCCAGGGAGGAAACTGTCTCCCTACCTCAATGTGTAGAACACATTCTGCTGAATTTGTGCCATCTGTAACCTCCAAGAATATGTCATCCTGAAGTTCTTCAGATCCGTCATGCTGATACCTGTGGGAATATATGTCACTGATCACTCAAGGCCACTGTGAGAACACATTGAGATGCAAGATGTAAAGGCTCTTCCACGTCTTTAGCCATGATATTGATAAACAAATAATAGAAGAAACCTAGCTTAAATGTAAAGTCACATATTTAACAACTCAAGTATCCCTAAAGGTGAAATTGCTCCATCCTGAAAAAAATATATGTGTGTATATGTGTGTGTGTGTGTGTGTATGTATGTATGTATGTATATGCATGTATATCTAATTATATATAAGTGTATATATATATGAGTGTGGGTATATATGTATATGTGTGTACACACACACACACACACACACATATATATACTCATAACATTTCCCCAAACTAAAAGGCAGCCCTTCGAGTCACCACAGTGACAATAGGAAATGGTTTTTACTGAATCTCATTTGATAAAAGAAATGAAAGACCTTAAGGAGAGGGGAACCACGACAGGCCCAGAAGGCAGGGGAGTCAGCCATCGCTGATTGTCAGACCCCCTAATCCTGCTCCACATTTTACCTTCTCTACTTATTTGCATGCAAATCCCCAGCCCAGCAGAATAAACCAAAGGTTACATTAAAGACCTTTGGTCTTTAATATATCCTGGAGTTTCCAGGATTATGAAATTGGCATATCTTAAAACCAGGTTCAATTATATAGACTAGCCTTACATTTTACGTCAGTCCATATTCACCAAGCGTGACTGTTACCTCTTGTGATTTGTGCAGTTGTAGCCCATTGAATATTCATGGAATTAATTTTTGTTATTCAAATAACCTTAGCAAGCCAGAAGGAAATAAAATTTCTGGAGGAAAATGGGAAATTTGTCATTTTCAAATGACCTTTGAAAGTGTCATATTGTTATACTCTCAAAACATTGGACAAATGTCTTAGTCTGCCTCATTGATTCAGATGGCAATTAAAGCATTTACAAGGAAAAGAAGCCAAGAACTGCTCTAACCTAACTTTTAAGGTATGAAGCTCTCCCCAAGGAAACATGTCCCCTGTGTTTAGAGGAAACCCATTCAGCTCCACCCTTCCGTGTGGAGGCAGTCTCTGAAGGGAGAGGCGAATGTTGTCCAGTTTGGTATCCACATCAGAAACCAGAACATGCTCTGTGCTGATGACACTTTGACCTCCCTCAAACACGCTCAGAGGACTGGTGTATACCTAGGAAGGAGAAAGGAAACTTTTAAAGCCTTGTTCAATGAGTTACTCCTGAAATCAGAACTCATAAAGTCAACATAAAACATCCAGTAGCATTACCATTTGTCAGTTTTTTAAGAAAGTGAAGAAGACACATTCCTAACTGACATCTGTGTAGTAGAAGCAGCAGCCCCACTGATTATTAGCCAAAATGCTAAATTGACAAAATAATAACATTCACTATCATATTCATACCCATGCTTACTCAACACATACATACCATAATCTACAAAATGAACAAAACCTATAAAAATTCCCCTACAGAAAAGAATCTACCTCTTTTTCATCCTAAAAATTCTTAAAGCCTTGGGAAATAGATTGGAGCTTTTAAGCATGAGTTGTTGAATATATTTAATGATGAAAGTAGAACAAGGAAATTAAAGATTCTATAGGAAATAGATTTATTTAAAATAAGCCTTAAGCATGAAAACCATAAAGATAATGTTCTGTAAACTATAAAAACCCACTGTTCAACCAACTAGTAAAGATTTATAAGTAAAACGCAAATTTAAAGGGCTTGAGAAATTTTATCACCACATTCAAAGCTGGCAAAGAAGTTTTTCTCGGTCACATCAGTTCATAAAGCTGTACACATGATATCTGCACTTTGGAGATGTATAAGGCACCTTAACATTCAATGCTCTGAGATGCTACAATAGAGAAATCTTTTAGCTTTGGTTAACCTATCATTTCCCAGGTTTGTATTGCTACACAGAAGCAAAAGCACACAGTTGAGTGCCAAGTCATCAGCACTGAGAGCCCCTTGGATGATCTGGGGTGAATTCTTGGCCAGTGAGTGGACAAAGAATTCTCCAAAAGAAGCAGCTTCTAACTTCAGGGTAGCTGTCACTGCCAGAAAGAACATTCCCATTTAAAAATAATGTTATGGGAGGCATCTATTACCTATTTAAAAACAATGTTTAGCTTCGTGGGTAAATCCATTGGTCCTTTAGGATAAGAACTCTGCTCTGCAAATACGCACAGAGGTGGTAAGGGTGGGCAGGAAAGGGCATATCAGAGCTTCCGTGGTTATAATCCAGTCAGGTTCCTGCAAAGGTAAACTCTTTCCTTGGGGATGAGATATATAGGTTCTAGGCCTCTCTAATTGTTAGTAAATAGACAATCTTAGTTTGTCTTTCTGCTTTTGAGAGGAAAAGAATTAATCCAGGAAAAGCCATACTAATTAAGTAAAATCTTTCTTTAGGATTTGTTTGTTTGTTTGTTTGTTTAGGCATACAAGATCTGGGATGTGGGCCAGAGGGGTAGGGGGTGAGAGGACTCACCAGAGAGGGTAGCAGAACAGGCAGATCTACTGAAATATACTGCTAGGCGAACAGTGGGCGGAGCTGGAGAAATCCTGTGGGTCAGCTACTTGGCCTGGGTGGAACTCATGCTACACTGCCTAGGGATAGCTTGATAACATTGAGACTTAATCCCTGCACCACCAGAGAGGCCCACTCAAGCAGTCTGATATGGAGAAAACAGGGTCTGAAACAAACTCTCAAGTGCCTATCTTGAAAATAAGATAAAAAAGGTAGCAACTCTTTTGCAGTTGGGTTTTAATGAGAGACCCAGCTGCTTTAAAGCTTATATAAATGTCGAGTGGGACAGGATAGGATGGAAGAAGTCATCACAATAAATTTTGGAAAACTAAATAGCTTATTATGAGTACAAAGCAACACAACTAACCTGTGGTGAGAGCAAATAAGCCCTCTGGTTACTGAAAGACCCATAATTTAATCTCCTTCTCTTATCAACAAGTGAAATAGAAGAAGGGACATGATTTTGATAATGCTTGGAAAATAATGCCAAATTCAGCAGCTACAAAATCTCATTATTTAGGTAGAAAGTCCTCTGGGGGTAAGTGATTCCCCTCCCCATACTTTTCTTAACTTTTTCTTGTATTGTAGTTGGAAAATAAGAAAGCTCTTCAAAATAGTCTAGAAAAAAGTTAACATTTCTAGTAAATTTTGGTCCTTCTTTCTTCGGTCCTCCCTCCTTTTCATCCTTCATAAGGAACAGTGTACATACCTCAGGAATTTGATTGTCTACTGGGAGAATCACAATGTTGAAACAGATTCCATGCAAAGTACCACCATGCTGGTTAGTGATGGAAAATGTGAACTGAACATGCCGTAGATGGGGGCCTATATCTTCCATGGGAGGCATGTAGGCCACTTTCATATAGTTTACAGTATCCTGCAAAATAAATTGAAATGAATTATGTGGGTTCTGACTTATAAGGATTAGAGGCACTCAGAGACTTGGTCTAAAAAAACTGCCATGCTAAATGACATCAAATACTATAATACCACCATCATCAATTTGAAGATTCCAAGAAGCTTCGATCTTGCCACCTTTTCTAAAAATCAGGAAGGAAAAGGATAAAGAAAAGTAGCAAATATGTCAAGTGGAGGAAGGCAGCCAACTCTATAAGAGATAGGGAGACTTCAATTTCAACCCAATTCCAGCATGAAGTAGTTATGTGATCTTGGTCACACTATTTAAATTTCCTAGGCTTCTTTTTCTTATTTGTTAAATGCGTATAATAATATCAGCACATAGGACTGATATACTTATTTATAACCTCAAATTATAGTGGCATTAGGCATCATTAGTTCCAAACCCCATAGGTAGCTGCTACCTAAGTACAAGTCACTATTATTGTGACCCTGTGGGAATTTCACAGTAGTATCCACAAGAGCATGGAAAGTGTTAAAAAGGATCTTGAAATGTAGCAGATATGAGAAATTAAACTTTCTCCCCCCAAAATGTGCTGAAATCCTACCTCAATACCTACCAATATGACATTATTTGGGAATAGGGATGTGCAGATTTAATTCATTAAGATGAGGCCATACTGTGACACATGCTATGCAACGTCTATTGTCTGACAGATTCCGAGTAGATCGGGAAAAGCTCTGAAAAATCGGACTTTCCACTGCTACCTTATATTATGACCTCCCTTTTTTGTATAATTGTAATATCAAAATATTCTGAGCAACTTTCAGCTTACAATTGGACTGCCTAGGCTGCACAAAGCCTGCCTGCCTTGACAAGCAAGCACTGCACCAGGGTGAAAAAATTCCCCTAAAGTCAAGTGACTTGACTACTGACTGATAAACACAAAAGAGCGGTTTTTGCAAAGTCTCTCTCACTGCCGGATGGAGGATAACCCAAATCTTATCATTCTATTATCTCACCTAGCCTTCTATTCACCCTTTTAAAGAATTACTCCAACTTCCTATTGTTTGGCCTTTAGATGTGGAAATTCATCCAGGTTGCTTGTTTTTAAGTTTTCTACCTGCTACACCTTATAGGAATCTTCTGGCTAGTTTTTCAGGATTCTACTATGTAGTCTTTAGATAAAAAAAATCCACCTATGTCTCCTATTCAGAGATTTGATTAGCAAGGAATTTCCTCTTCTGTCTCCCAGGATGATTCAGGCAGAAAAACAAAAACCCATTAAGTAGTAGATAAGGTTTAAGGGACTTCTATCTTAAGTTGATCTCCACTATAGTAATATTAGTCATAAACTTTGTGCACCTATGTACCTGTTTTTAACCTTAATTGATTTTGGAATGCTATATCTCAGCTAAAGGGCAATACGACCCTAAACTGTTCCTAGAAAAAAAGATGATTGTAATCTCTCAGCCCAGTTCATGTGCTGATGTCATCCCACTGCTTGCTCCTAATGTATAAAATAAACCTCTGCTGAAGGCAGAGCAGGAAGACTTGCACCCAACTCCAACTCCTGTGTCTTCCTCGCCCCCCTTTCTCTTTTTTCTCCCTTTCCCCCCTTTTTTAGGAATCTCCACTTGCCGACGCCTTCCCACCTTAGGGTCCTGCCTGTCTTGCCTCCAGACACCTCAATAGTTGGAGCTGGTCTTCGACAATACTGGAGTAGGGTCGGCCCTTAATATAACTAATACACTTTTTAATATAGAGAGATAAACAGGTAGAAGCAACCCACTAGAAGTTAAGAAAACACAAGAACAGCATCCGTGCAGGATTTCAGAGGAGTATAGCTCTGCCAATATCTTGATTTCAGACTTTTAGCCTCCAGAATTATGTGACAACAAACTCTGTTTCAAATCACCCAGACTGTGACACTTTGCTATAGCAAACCTAGAAAACGAATATAGTAGGGCACTGGAAAAGCTGAATTTGGTGGAATGAAAATATATGGATAGGTCCCTAAGTTTGAGTACTATGTTCACAAAACAATGAAAATGACTAATAAATTATAATAAGATTTTAAAATAATATCCAGCTTGATCAAACATTTACAAATCAATGTCACATGCTTACTGGAAATGAACAAGCAGAAAGAATGACTAGATAAAATATTTGTCCTCCCAACAAATAAAAGTCCAGGACAAGATAAATTTGCTGGTGAATTCTATCAAACATTCAATTAAGAATGAATAGCAGCACCCTCCCTAGTGGCGCAGCAGGTTAAAGCACAGCACTAAGAAGCTAAAGCCACTTCAGCATGATTTGATACCTAACCCAGAGGTGACCACATGGCGTGGCAGACTTCTCCTGGCTCACCTGCTGCTCCCCTGAGCAGTGTACTTCATCAGCTGGCCTGTTCTGCTCCCCACTCTGTCTCTGGTGAATCCTCTCACCATCCCTGCACCTCTGGCCTATACCCCAGTTCTGTATGCATCAATAAATAAATCTTTAAAAAAAAGAATTAATACCAATCCTTCATAAACTTTTCCAAATAATAAAAGAGAAGGTAGCACTTTCAACTCTTGTTTTATAAGACCAGCATTATCTCAATATCAAAATCAAAAAGGATACCACAAGATAAGAAAAGTATAGACTAGTGTCCCTGATGAACATAAATCAAAAATCCTCAGCAAAATATTAGTCAGTAAATTTTTAATACATTAAGAAGGATCATATACCATAATCACGTGGTATTTATTCAAGGAATGTGAGGATGGCACAACACCTTTATCTTAATAACATACATTAACAAAATGAAGGATAAAAATCATACAATCATCTCAATAGATACAGATGAAGAACTTGAAAAAATTCAACATCCATACATGATAAAATGTCAACAGATTTGGTATAAAGGGAATGGACCTCAATCAGTACAAGTCATATATGTCAAAAAAAAAAAAAAAAGAATGTCCACTCACACCACTTCTACTGAACATAGTATCAGAAATCAACAGTAAGAAAAGGAAATAAAAGATGTTTAAATTAAAAGGAAGAAGTAAAACTGTTTGCAGATAATATGATAGTATATGTAGAAAATTCTAAAGATGCCACCAAAAAAATCTAGTAGAACTAACAAGTGAATTCAGTAAAGTTGTAGGATGTAAAATTAATATACAAAATTCTATTATATGCCTATATACTGACAGCAAAATATCAGAAAATAACAAGAAACAATCCCATTTACAATAGCGTCAGAAAGGAATATATCTCACAAGGAGGTAAAATATTTGTACATTGAAAACAATAAAACAGTGATAAAAGAAACTGAGAAATATAAATATTAATAGTCTATGATAAAGGACTCAAAGAATTAATATTGTTCAAAGGTTCACACTACCCAAAGCAATATAAAGATTCAGTGCAATATCTATAAAAATTCTAAAAGTATTTATTACATAAATGGCATAAAAATTCTAAAACGTATGTTAACACAAAAGATTCCAAATAGCCAAAGCAACCTTGAGAAAGAACAAAGCTGGAGGCATCAAGGTCCCTACTACAAACTTATAATAAAGCATTTGAGACACATGTCAAAGACCAACACAGGAATTTCTATACCCTCTTGGAAGACATTTCTGTTTGTCAACATTCGAGCATAATAGCATACCTGAGTGAATGATGTCAGCCCTACAGCTGCAGGATTTTTGGTTAGTTTTGGTATGCTGTCCACCATGAATAATTTCCCAGCATCCAAGTGTCTAAAAAGAAACAGGGTGAATAAATAAACTATTTTTCCAAGTATACAGATTAAATAGAATAGTCCACGATTAACTTTTGATAATTACAAGGTTCATCATGGGGAAATTAAAGTGGCTCTAGGTTTTAACCTTAAGTCCAGTGTCATCAATATTATTCTCATCCTAACTCCAAAAAGTATGTCCAAAATTTTCTACTTGGCCATCATAAAAGGGAATCACAATTCTTGTAAGTTTGAGATTAGAGTAAATGCTGAATTTAGTAGACAATCATGTCCAACAGAGCAAATGAACCATGGTACTAAATACTGACACTTATAACTGTTTTATCCTAAAACATACCATCAATGAATAGCCCAGGTGAAAACTGACTTTTCAGAGATACCTGTGACTGGAATTGAAAAATGGAGGTGTTGTTATTGTGTAGAGCAGCTCCCCACCATATGATTCTGGATCTATAAAATGTAAGTGTTTCTTAGTTATGTAGGCCACCTCAGTTTCCTTGACAACCAAATGTCGAGAAACTCCAGGAGCCTCTTTTGGAAGCTGGTCATTCACTGGAATGATATGGATTGTTACCACCTGGAAAAAAATGATTGGTTCCTTTAATTTCAAGTACCAAAAAGACATCAAAGATGACACCCCACAATCACCTAGTCACAGTTCAAATGACATTCAAAACATGCCATTTATAATATGGGAGCTGTTAAGAATTTGAACCAAAAATAGAATACTCCCCACCTCTACATTATTTTAAGAATATAATTTTCACAATTACAGTTTATATAGTCTTGAGCATATAGAGTGCTAATACACAAGTTCTGATTTTTTTTCTATACCTTCTTTCCACCAACATCTGTGATTTGCTTATGTCCCTCTAATAAGTCACTGATCCTAGAAAAAAACATAACTTTTGGTCCCTCATGATCCATTTACACTTAACACATCACCACATGCAAGAATTACTGCTTACAAAAATACCTATACAGTTACCACACCCCAGAACCACCCCCAAAACCCCTCCCCCAGGGTCTAATTCCCGCTGTTAATGACCTACCTCTCACTCTTATTTCCCCCGTACATTATTGTAACACCTCTGTTAGCCCTGACTATAATGGCTAATCTAGATTTTTCATACCCTTAGAGTTATCTCTAAAATAATAAAAGTCAGGCCCTCCCTGGTATCTAACAGGTTTAAGTTGAAGTTCTCTGAAGCCACTGCAACATGAATTTGACCTCCAGCCAGGAGGGTGACTCTCATGATGCAGCAGACCTCTCCTGACCTGCCTTCTGCTCCCCTCAGCAGTGTTATTTCAATTAATCTGCCTGTTCTGCTCCCCACTCTGTCTCTAGTGAATTCTCTCACCTTCCCTGCACCTCTGGCCTATATCCCAGTTCTTATAGGCATACATAAATAAATCCTTAAAAAAATTAAAAAGTTAACTCTGGTTATTCACCTTCTCAAATTTTATACCACTATGAGAAAAACAGAATTTAAAGTTCTAGCATAGTACCTAAGACTCTCCACAGTTTAGGCACACTCTACTTTTCAACTTTATCTTGCTTACCTTTCAGCATTAATTCAGCACTAAAACTATGTGTAATGGATCTTGTCCAACTACTTAAACATACCTGTATGCTTTGGACCATGTTTGTATTTGTTTTCTTTTTGATCTAGAATGCTTTTATCCTGCTTTCTCCAGCAATCTAAGCCATCCTTGAAAACATCTCTTGAAAACATCTCTTGAACATCCCTCAATCTCTCAGTTGGAATTAATTGTTCCTCAAGTTTGCTTACCCCTCAGTGAACATTTTTTCATTATCTTTTATTATTAATCAGTAGTTTACATGTCAATCTTTCCTATGAGCACAGAAGTATAGTACAAATTACATGGATTTGGCAGTGAATAGCTGAAGTCCTGAGTATACAGTAGTTATTGATCTTGAACAGTCACTTTTTTGAGTGTCAAAGTTCTTATTCATAAGTTAAGCATAATACCATCAATCTCATAGAGTTGTCATAAAGATCAAATAGCACTATGTAAATAAAATGTCTGGCATTGTAGGTGCTCAATTATATTCATCTCTATAGCTCCACAAAATCTGACATGATATTTTGTGTTTGATAACTGAATGATTCAGCTCTCACCTTCCCCCGTGTATCATTTAAAGCATTCTTTTTCTTTTAAGATTTATTTACTTATGCATATAAGAACTGGGGTAGAGGCCAGAGGTGTGGGAAGTGAGAGATTTCA